CCCGCGCGGCGCACGGAGATGACGAACGGCGCGCGCCGCCTGCCCGCGCGGGCGGGGCGGGCTGGGCGGGGCGCTCTCTCGTAACCGTCAGTCCCCTCACAACCGTCGCTGGCTCGTAACCGTCACTCCCCTCACAACCGTCGCTGCCTTGTAACTGTCGCTTCCATCACCACTGTTGTCCCCCTCATAACCGTCGCTCCCCTCACAACTGTTGTTCACCTCATAAGCGTCGCTTCCTCATAACTATTGCTCCCTAATAACCGTTGCTCCTTCAAAACCATCACCCCCTCACAACTGTTGTCCACCTCGTAACTGTCACTTCCTCCTAACCATCACTCCCCTCACAACTGTCACCCCCCTCATAACCATCGCTCCCTCATAAACCGCCACTCCTTCAAAACCGTGGCCCACTCAACTGTCACTCCCTCATAACCGTCGCTCCCTTATAACCGTCACTTCCTCATAACCATCGCTTCCTCATAACCGTTGCTACCCTCACAACCGCCGTTCCCTCATAACCGTCATTCCCTCATAACCATCGATTCTTCAAAACCATCACTGCTTCACAACCATCGCCCCCCTCATAACCATTGCTTCCTCATAACCGTTGCTACCCTCACAACCATTGTTCCCTCACAACCATCGTTCCCTCATAACCATCGCTCCTTCAAAATCATAATTGCTTCACAACCATAACCCCCCTCATAACTGTCGCTCCCTCACAAATGTCACTCCCCTCACAACCATCGCCCGCCTCATAACCTCATACCCGCTACTCCCTCATAACCATTGCTCCCTCAAAACTGTCACCTCCTCATAACCGTCACATTCCCATAGCTGCCTCTGTGCCATAGCTGCACCACAGCCATACCACCACAACCAGCACAGCTGTACCATCTCGCCAGTGCCACCACCAGTACAGCTACACCACTGCCACCTCACCTCATGCACCACACTGCCACAAGCAGGACACTTGCACCACTGCCACAACCAGAACGGTGGTAGCAGTGCCACCACAACCACCACAGCATCACAACTAGCACAGCCACACCATGGCCATGCTGTCACACCAGCACAACCACCACAGCCAGTGTAGCTATACCACCACCAGAAACGGCCACGCCATCACAGCCAGTGCAGCTGCACAACTGCCACACCACCACAACCGGTACAGCCACTGCTGCTGCCACACTGCTATACCACTGCAACTGCTACAGTTGCACCACCGCAACCATCACAGCACCAGAGTTAATGTAGCTGCACCCCAACGCGATACCGTCACTGCAGCTACACCACCACCACATCACCAGCACGACCTCCACAGCTGCAGTACTGCCACACCAGTGCAACTCCTGCAGTTACACTGCCACCACATGTCCTCAGCTGCAACATCTACATCACTGCTGCAGCAGTTGCACTGGTGTCACAGCACAACTGCTACAACTGCACCACCACTACAACCCCCATCTTATCACAGTCACTACAGCTGCACTACACCGGCATGGTTGCTACAACTCCATCACCGCAAGAACCATTAGAGTCACACCACACACCAGCACAGCTCTCACTGCTGCACTACCACACAGTCAGCACAACTCCACCATCACCTTCCCAGCCCAGCTCTTGCAACTACGCAGCCGCCTCACCACCTTTCTGACTGTTTTGCTGCTGAGGGTGCTTTGGGTGAAGGCCGTTTTTACTATAATAAAACCTTGGTACAGAAATCGATAGAGAAGCCTGGATTTGGGGGTGTGTTGTGTGTGGCTCAGTTATTACTTCCAAGCCTACTGCCCTCAGTAGAATGATGCCATTGGCTTGTGGCAGCAAGAATTCATCGTCTGGCGGATATTAAAGATGATATCTGAGTAATAACACACCAAGGTCTTATTGTAGTTCTTCCTCATCTTGACATGCAGATAGCTGGTGTGGGAAAGTAATAAAAGTGATCTTTTTGAAAGAAAGATTTTCCAAAAATGATAGCTGCTCTTCCAGTGCCTTTGTACTTTCCCCTTAAGCCCTTTTCTTTTACCAGAAAACAACTGCATTTTAGTAGGTAGATGCAGCATTGTAAAATCCTACAAGTCCCAGGGGATTTTACATTCCTTTTTTTTTTTTTTTTTTTTGGTCACTACAGAGTGCTCTCTTGATTCAGGCCATGCTGTTGTTTGTCAAACTTGTTTTAAAGGCCTTAGTAGATAATAAACCTCCACTGTTCCTCTTGCAACTTTATTATGTGTTTCAGCATCATTTGGCATTTTCCTTATGTTAAGCTTGAAGTGATATTTTTTGTCTTGAGTATTCCTTCTTATACACCTGTGACTGATAAAAGTGTGGGTAATCCGGGTACCTCTTAGTCATTGTAAAGCAGCTAAAAAGAAGGAACATTTTGGAGATGGTAAATATTCGAAAGCAGAAGCGTGGTTTGGGGGAAAAAATACATACATTCTTCCTTTCTGTCTTTCCAGATAAGTTAGCTCCTTATGTGTCTTTGTAAGCTCCTGCCAGCTTATCTGCTTACTCTTTGGTGTTTCAGATGCCCATGTAATTTTCCACAGGCTGCCTTGCCAGGCCACTTGTGTCTCTGTTCTTTCTGGCTTCTTCCTGCACAGTCATTGCAGCCTGATTCTATCATAACTTGATGGATGCACATTTGTCCTTTCCTCTTGACTGAGGCATAAGGAACTCAGATTCCAGG